CTCCCTAGTTCGGACATCCAAGGATGTTATCACGCCTCACAACATCATCAAGGCTGTCTACACTGTCCTTAGGATAGAGAGTTCGGGTCTAATTGGTGATTCGAGAGTCACGGTCGGCAAATCTATCTGGGTCGAACACCAAACCACACTGTCAAAAGGTCTAATCCTCCTTGTAAGCATCGCACCAATTTACACCGTTGGACAGAAAGCTTAAGCCCAGGAGGCAACGCCATGTGCTGTGAGGATGGCTTTGGAATCAGTACTTGACAGCACATGCTGCCGAGAATTCGCAGTAGCGATAATCCAGGCAGTAAAGATGCCCTTGCCTTTTCTTTATCTAATGGGGGGCAATAAGTTCAATCGGAGAGTTATTTCATCTGATGTAGTTAACAATAAATACAGTAGATTGCTGCTTGCTTGAAAGGCACCCTAAGCGAACAAAACCATAGTAACGCATCAACAATAGCAGTTCAGCTTCCCTCAAGCCCGCTACTACTCTGTGTGAGCAGCTGAGTCCTCCCACTCAAAGAAGACAACATTCCACCTGTATCTAAAAGCCCCTTCAAGATTTGTCAACAGCCAAAACATTTCTTTCTTGAACCTTCTGAGTGACGTGGGATACTTCGACCGATTGTTGTACTGACTCCAGATAGTTTTGCACACGTCGGTGAAACCGGCCTGGGGTTGCCAAATAAAGTGACGGAGGTCTTGAGAAACAGAACCATTCGAATCGAAGTGCCAAGCAAGGAGAGATAATTTCAGCAAAGCATCTTGAGTGAGCCTACTTGAAATATTTTCCGCATGGCTGCAAAGTAGTTCGTTTTGAATCAAATGAGATATATCCTTGGTGTAAAATGCCTCCCCATTCAGGCTCTGGCACTCTCGCAGAAGAAACCTGGCGTCTATGCCGATGTCTATGCTATAATCATCGCTAAGGGATTGTTGCTGACTCAAGCAGAATACCAGCAAAGTCTTCAAAACAGATTGCGCTGGGACTTGGAAGAAATGTTCGTGGATCTCAAACTGGTACCACAGTCATACTTCAGCTAATGTCTCCTTGATACAAAGAGGGGGTAAACCTACCATTTTTTCGTGACTTGGGTAGATGAGAAAGTGGGTGTTTGGCGGGCTGCAGAAGTTTGAAGCACGGAATGTTATGTGTTGCTCCATAAAGCTAGAGACGAAAACGTCCTGCTTTATGAGAGTGAGAGGTCACTTGAGAGCATGTCCTTGCTTTGCGTGTGCAGCGGCCAGATCTATCTACCCCTATGGGCGCCGTCATGCTTCCACAATTGGAAAGAGGCGTAATGCTTTGGAGACTAATCCTCTCCCGCCCCCGTTTGACATATTCTGGTGTATTGAAACTCTTTGTACCCGGCATGACATGAACATCAATGCCCGCCCCTGCATCTCTGCTTTCCCCTCATTCAATTTGCAGTAGCTGAACTTAGTAAATTGCCCAAAGCGCAGTAACTGATTCAGTGAAGTACTGGCTAGACTAGAGACAGTCGGATTTATTGGTACACAAGCTACATGCATCTTACCTACCGATAGCTGCGAGAATTCTCGCCGTAGGAATCAGAGCAGTGATGATCGTCGTTCGGAAACAATGCCCGCTGTTATGTTGTATTTAAAGGAAGGGTGTGTGATATAAAGCTTGGGTGCGTCTTCTTGCTCCAGAGTCATATTGTTTCTTCAAGCAATTGCCAATTTTATGACCGATACTTGAGCGTTTACGACGCCCGAAGACCCCCTCTTGATCGTACACATCATGCCGGACACAATTGCTATTCTATGTGTCATCATTGTTTTGCTGTTGCTTGTAGCATGGGGAATTCTTGGCAATCATCTCTCCAACTACTGGGATGAGCTAGGAAGACAGTATAGGTTAGTACAAATTTCGCCACCACAGTGCACTAGCTCGCTCTATGAAGATTGACACTGGTCAGGGATATTGCGTGGCAAGCGCTTGTCTAGAACACCTGATGAGCCTAGCGACCAGTGAGGTTAATGGCGCCCTAGGCCATACACTTGACTTGACACCAAGAGGACCTCATTCTACCGTGACGGACACAATCTTATTATGTGTGCTTGCTAAGACATCGCAAATGGATCACTGATGCGGCTATGCGGCAATCTTTTTTGCCGTTTCTCAGCTTCCTTGGCCGCAACGGGCTTCTTCTATTACAGTCGTCGCGAATGATAACCGAGGATGCGGGGCGTGCACTCTTACCGACTTGAATTGTTTGTGTTTGACACCCACTAGTGGTACTGATGCGCTCGGGCCCATCCCCACTTACACAATCCTACCCTTAGTCATTGAGTGGCCGCGCAAGTTTGACACATTTTGGCGTTTTGAAAGAGTTCGTTTCTGTAATGAATAGAAAGTACGCAGGCAGAGTTCTAGGCCTCAGGCAGGAAGCAAATCCCTGACAGGTGCGGCAGAGAGTATTGTATGCTTATTGGCCACGAATCTCTGAAGCTAGTGCATTGCCCGTAC